AGCTATTTTCCTAAATCCTATGGAGAAATTGCATTGCGTTTTTGTCGAAGGAACCGGAAGGAGTTTACTTCCTGGTTTTAGGACGCGTCACTGCGGTTCTCTGTAGTTGTCCTGGTTGATGTTGCAAATGGAGCTGCCTCGATCTGATGATGAAGTGTAATCATCATATCGTGGTTCTTCTCTCTCAGGTGAGACAACAGGAAAAGGGCAGGAGGCCAAGGCAATGTGGCTTTGTAACATCCGGCCAGACTGGGGCTAAAGTTTTATTTCAGATAGGTGATTTAGACACGTTTAAGCAACCTTGGTGCTATAAAGACATTGTATGTTCTGTTATTGAGGAACATTACATTTTGCAGAAGTTTTTATTGGATAGTTTTTTTGCGTGATTGGTTTTTTCTCAACAATTAGGCACTTTATTGGAAGTATATGTTAGTGTGTGTTTGGAGAAAGGTCTTCATGTTCTTCCTTTTCGTCCCCTCTCCATCTCTTTTTGTTTATAGTAAGCCAACACTGCCTTTCTCCCCTTCTGTTATTTTCTTCCTCTCCACCCCCCCCCCCCCCCCCCACCACCACCTCCCTCTTATAGATGGAGATTAACTGGGGAGCTGCAGCGCAATCCGTCCTCCTGACTGTTTGTTGTTAAGGAGATGGATGGAGGCTCCCTCTGCCAGCCCCACGCAGCCGCAATTACACCAGCCGCCATGATGGATGGAGGGGAGGGAAAAGGGGGAGAGAGGGAGATACAGAGAGGGGCATCTATCACACCCCTTAATCTACCTGTCACTGCTATAGGGCTGCAGGGTGGGGGGGGGGGGGGGGAGGAGAGGCGGCTGGTCAAAGGTTTAACTCTTCCCTTTTTACTCTGAATTTCTTCCTGCTAAATTTGTCCGGACTCATTAAATGTCCTGATCACTGCAATAGATTTCCCAAAGCGTATTGGACTCAGTCGAATACTGTGTGTGTGTTGGTGAGAAAAGCATCAACATTTAGACAGGAAGAGGCCAGAAAAATAAATGTCTGACAAAACATGTTAATGAACCCGTTTCCTTCGATCTGCTTGTAGATACAAATTGTGTTGTGAGTCAGAAACATATGGTCAAAGAACGATACATCTTTACCTCCATTTGCTAAGACGAAATAAAAAAGCGTTGTGTGCACATGTGCATCAACAGGTAACTCGATGCCTGGAAAACTTGCCCTGCGAGGACCGGACTCATTCAATGTCCTAAGATAAGAGAAGAGAAGATAAGACGTACTTTATTTTTGTTTGTTGGAGCAGCATCAAACAAAACAAGGCATTGCACATCATAACAAATTAAAAGAGTAGAAATAACCAATTCTAAAATAGAAACATCTCAAAATAGAAATAGAAATAAATCAACATAAAACTAACATTACTACTAATCACCCACATTGATTTCCCAACGCTTATTGCATTCTGTCAAATACAGTGGGTGTGTGTGTGTGTGTGGCCTAGCATTACTATACTTGTGGGGACCTAAATCTGTTTACACAGTCATGTGTGGGGACTCGCCTCCCTTATGGGGACAAAATGGAGGTCCTCATGAGGGGAATCATTCATTTTAGGGTGAAGACTTGGTTAGGTTTAGGGTTAGGGTTAGGCATGTGTTGGTTATGGTTAAGGTTAGGATAAGTCTCCAGGAAATGCATGTAAGTCAATGTAATGTCCCCTGAAGTGATGTATATGTGGTGTGTGTGCGTGTGTGTTAGCAAGCTACATTGAGGTCAGTGTCTTTCAGTGGGGAATGTAAACTTTCGTATCAATGTGTCATCTTGGGTCCAGACTGTGTGTGTGTGTGTGTGTGTGTGTGTGTGTGTGTGTGTGTGTGTGTGTGTCAATATTAGAACAGAAAGGGCCCATAAAACTAGTTGTTGGATGCATATTCTGTCGTAATTCAAGTAGGAAACATATGGTAAAAGAAGGATACATTTATATTCTCATATATAGTTTTCTACCTCCGTATATACTGACCTGACTTTGCGCCTTCACCTCCGCTCAAACTGAAAGAAAAGAAGCATCCTCTGCACATCAACAGGTAACAGGATGCCGGTTCTGATGCCCTTTAGCAGAGATGCCACTTTGCATGTTGACATTTTTCTGCATAGACCCCGTTATGGCATTAACCCCGCACAGCATGCACATACAAACACCGGGATTGCACACACACACACACACTCCCACACACTTCCACACACACTCCCACACTTAGTTGTTTATCGTCCCATCCGTAGCCTCTGCACTCCGCCCACACACACTCGCTCTGCAGCATCTGCTTCTCATCCTTAGACCTGTTGAAGGTATCAGAGAGGTGACCCATCATCTAGTCAATCTGCATACATTACCTGCTACGCATCTCCATATTTCCCCACATTGCTACAGAAATATTATGAAATGTAATCTGAGTTCTGCTTCCCTCCACCCCTCCTCCTCCCATCTCCATCCCCATCTCCCTCCTCCGCCTCCTCATCTGTCCACAGGAGTGAGGGATGGGATGGAGGGATTAATACTCTTCCGCCCAAGCCAACCCTGGGAATGATGGATGGACAGATGCAGGAAGGGAGGAGAGGGAGATTAAAGGAGAGAAGTCTTGAGGGTTCATAAATCCAGAGACCTGGTCCGCATCACACACTAATAAGATCTGCAAGAAATCCATGATGAGGGAGGGAGAGGTGGAGAGGTGGAGAGAGAGATGGGAGCCGTGTAATAGCATTAGATGTAATCTAATCATGGCAATAAGATGTGAATGGATGAGTGTGAGCATGGTGATTATGCAGAAGAGAGATGGCGGTGTGTTGATGAAGCTTTGAGGAGCGATGACTGGCCGGCCTGCAGATCTCCATGGGGAGTTTTCTGCTGGAAACACACACAAACAGTGTGTCCGTTATAATGTAGTCAGATGCTGACGTTAAGCGCTCCCACAGTGAAAGCAGTGGTCACAAAGTGGGGCTACATGGCTGCAAGAGGCCTCCATTTGATGTCGATTTTAAGTCCAACGAGTGCTGCACTAAGTCCTGAAATCCAAAAAAGAGTTTCTGCCCTTCTGGTTCTTTTTTCTAAAAGTTCATTTTATGGTAAGATGTCTGAAATAATGTCTTTATTTGACAGGTTTAATAGATTTCAGGGTGTGTTGGACCACATAAGATACATCAACACATGCGGTGGCTACTAATAAAGGATTTGTGATCTTATCTGACTTATGCTAACACGTTGCTAATGATACTGCAGAGGTTGTCGAGGACATTAAACGCCGTCACTAGTTTGCCTCTGACAGCTGCGTTTGGTTTATTATGGAAACGTTCACACAAGTAAATGAATCAATTTATAATATGCAATATATTCTTTTCGTTATTAAGTTGGAAGCATAGTAGAGTGGTGATGTGAAGTCAAGCGACCGCGGTGTAGTTAGCTTTTAGCCGTTAGCATTTTTACTTCTTCCAACCGATGTACACGTGAAAAGTCAGCGTGTTGACTTGTGAAGATTGTGTTGCTGAATAAAAATGTGCATGTATCATAAACGTTTGATTTGCACAGATTGTTTTCTGCAGAATTGGCTTTTGGCTGAGGGACCAGAGTGACTGGTTGACAAAATAACAACATCACTGCAGAAATCTTTGGAAATGATCCTGTGTGTATCGCTGATAGAACCTGTGCTATATAAATATATATTTACATGTATACAGACTTTTTACACTACTTTTTATTTTGTATTTTGTATCTATGTGTGTACGTGTGTGTGTGTGTGTGTGTGTGTGTGTGTGTGTGTCTCTGTCTGTCTGTCTGTCTGTCTGTGTGTGTGTGTGTGTGTGTGTGTGTGTGTGTGTGTGTGTGTGTGTGTGTGTGTGTGTGTGTGTGTGTGTGTGTGTGTGTGTGTGTGTCATCATGATGTGAAGAATTAACTGTAAGTGCATAATGTTGTGCAGCCGTGACCTGACTCGGAGCAGATAGAGCTCCTTCACCTCCCTCCTCTCCCCCCAAACTCCCCATCCTCCCCCCGCCCATCCACCGGGGCCACATTTTTCATGTCCCAGCTGTCGGAGGGCCGTGATTGGTTGGCTCTGCAGACAGATAGCCGATAGGCTCTGATTAATAGTTGAGGCCCAAGAACTTCCTCATTGATCAACAGGACAGGCTGGGGGAGGAGGGAGGAGAGAAAAAGCATGACCTGTCGCTCTGCAAGTGCTGGCTGATAACCCTGATAGTGTGTGTAAATGTGTGTGTGTGTGTGTGTGTGTGTGTGTGTGTGTGTGTGTGTGTGTGTGTGTGGGTGTTTGCAAAGCGATGTTGTGAACAGGATGAAATGGAAGCACTGCGGAGAGAAAGAGCTTCAGGTTTGATTCACTTTCTCTCCATCTGTGAAGCCTTTTCTCTCTGAGCAGTGTGATAGCATCTGTGAGTGTTTCCATGAATACGAAAGCACGTATGTTATCAAACGAAACAGACACAGATTGTTTGGCTGGAAGCTAATGTCTAATAGGCAATTACACATATGTGAGTGTGTGTGTGTGTGAGAGCACAGGATGAACATAATAGATATGTTTTATGTGTCCAGTTTTATTCTAAACATATATTTGTTCCGCAGTTACATCTGCAGGGTGAATTGGTTACAGTATCTTCGTGTGTGTGTGTGTGACCCTCCTGCTGCCCTGTCCTGCCCCTAGTTGATTGATGATCTCCACTCCCATGGGGTCAGCGGGGTCATGACCTCCCACTTTCGGCCCCCTGTTGAGAAGGTCACACACACACACACACACACACACACACACACACACACACACACACACACACACACACACACACACACACACACACACACACACACACACACACACACACACACACACACACAGCAAGCACAGCAAACAGATGGGACAACTGGTGCTTCCTCACCTTTCTCACAAACACACACACTCTCTAACACTATTACAAACACAACACAACTGTATCACACACACACACACACTGACCTCACACAACCCTGCTCTATTGAACAAATCGAATTTAATGTTAAAATGAATCTGCAAACGTTTTCAGTACCACATACATATTCTGTCTTTTGATTACAGTAGAAGAAAAAGCGATGAAACCAGTGTGTAGTGAGTTTTGATTGCTGGTGTTTTACAGAGAATGAGGGTCAAGAAAAGGGTCTTGTTAGCACGCATGTAGCACCATCGCCCCCTAGTGGAAACATAGGGTTATGGCAGCTCAAACATATTGTGATTAAAACAAGCAAGAGATAATCAGTGTTATTATATTACGCAAACACATACAATTCAGAATTTCATAAAGAAAGGCAAAAGGAGAATAATGGATTATCTTCTGCTTTCATAAATGTATATAAACAAATCAAACACTTTATATTTAAGATTAAACTAATACATAATAATTTACTTATTTGTAATGCTATTATTTATGCTATTCATTTTATATAATGTAATGTCATAGACAATAATACTATAGTGTGATATAATATACAAATAAATAATAAAATATGATATTATACAATAGTATATCGTATAATCACGTATAAATGGAAATTATTTAATAAATGGAAATGATTTAATAAATGGTATTGTATCCTAGATGATACGAGACGATAACACTTCCACTATAATTACTTCAGTCAAATATTTATAGACTTTTTATTGTTGCACACATTTAACATTTTATGTATTGCGTTGTTACAACTACTGAATGATTTGGAAACCTTTCGAACATATTTTGTAAAACATCTTTACACCTAGAATTATGATGATGATGATGATGGTGATGAAGAGCAGCTAACTGTATTCACTGCTTCATCTGTTTGTGATCAAATATCTTCACTCTGTCCTTTTCTTCTCCTGTTGGGCCGTCTTCAGCCAGCTCTCCACATGTTTCTCAATCTCCTGAGAGGATAAGGAGGGAGAGTTTTTTAAGGACTTCATCTTCATCATGTGTGTGTGATGCAGGTTACACACTCACACACCACCGAGGGATACACACCTGTCTGGCGTTCTTCAGCGAGCGGCGGTCGGTGACTCTTCCTCTCGTCACGTCCGCACAGTGAGCGCTGTCTCGAATGAAAACGCTCTCTGCTTCCTCTCCTCCATCGGTCCTGTTCCCCACGTTACGTGACAAAATGTCTGTACGTTTACATGGAAAAAGTGCATAATATATTTAGGGCAGGTGAACCATGAAATTACATTTTTATGTTCTCCTTTGTCGAGTCATGTGATTCTCAGCATCTCACCGTTGACGTAGAGCACCCGGTGTGCGTGTGGCTCGTCTCCTCCGTAGTAACGGTTGGTGAAGGCGACGCGTCCAGGCAGGGAATTCTGGGAAATTCCAAACAGCTCGAGTCAGATCTCAGTCTGTGACCTCAGGGTCACCATCCCAGAGAACGGACAAGAAGCATCCTCACAGGTCTGATCTACACACACACACACACACACACACACACACACACACACACACACACACACACACACACACACACACACACACACACACACACACACACACACACACACACCACACACACACACACACACACACACACACACACACACACACACACACACACACACACACACACACACACACACACACACACACACACACACACACACACACACACACACACACACACACACACACACACACACACACACACACACACGACAGGTGATGTAAAGAACGATGGTTTACCTATGTGTGTGTGTGGGTTTGTATGAGAGTTAGAGAGTTGTGAGTGTGTGTGTTGCATGTGTGTTCGCAAGCTACATTGAGGTCAGTGTCTTTCAGTGGGGAATGTGTGTGTGTGCGTGTGTGTGTGTGTGTGTGCAGTACAGAAGCCGAACTCGGTGCAGGTCTGGTAGGTCCACTGTCTCTCTGCTCTCCTCTCTGATTGGACGGTGGTGTCCATCAGGTCCTTCACTGTTTTCTCATGAGAGACGTCCAGACACGGCTCCTCGCTGCTGGAGCGGTAGATCTGCACAAGATACACAAATACAAGACATAACATATGAATTTGAAAAAATTAGTAACCAACGCTGTCATTTGAACGGCGATCAAGCCTGAAGCCACAGAGCTCTTCTGTTACTGTCCTTTCTTCTTAGAGGAAGTACAGAAACACGTAACTCTGGATTTGTTTTAATGTTTGAGGTGCAATAAACGACACAGCAGCTTTTTGGCATGTTAAAACTATTATTTTCTGCCTCGCTCATGAGCGTAACTATGGAGCTAATTTCCTGCCATAACTCCACAAACAAACTAAACAGGTTTTTACAAATGCCTCATGATTCACTAACAAACACAATGTGGTTTGCAAATACAAAACACCATCTACAAACTAATGCATTTAGTTTTGCAAAGAAAAAACGGATCTATCAAACAAACACATAACATTTTTCTAATAAATCATATTTCAGAGACAAATTCAGCATAGGTTTTACAAGTACACAACTTTTTTTTTACAACTACAACACTTTTTTGTACAAGTACAAAACATGTTTTTACAACTACAAAACGTTTTCCTCTTCCATGCTCTGCTCAACCTCCCGGCGGGAGGCTCCCGCCTTCCCCAATGGACTCAGTAGCGCCCTCTGCTGCCGTGGAGCCTGTGCCAGCCACGGCGGAATATTACTGCCAAAAGTCACGTGACTTTTGGCACAATTTCTTATGTTACCTTATATGGTAAAACCAAATGCACCGCTTATATGACGACACTGTCCTCAGTACATGTCCCTTGCTCGAGCTTTTGTTATGCTTAAGGGTCAGCCACCATCGCACCCAGTTGTTTCCTGTCACTATCACACTTGTACACTTCCTGTTACTCAAAAGGGCGTTGCAAGATAACAATCTTATAACTCTTTGTCTGCACAGTTACAGAAATAGCAAAACCGCCATGGTCCCTATAAAACACACAGACACAGTTCCCTCTGTGTACACTCCTGCAGACTGCTCTGTATGACATATACCTTTTGAAGCACTTCAAATAAAGAACCAACAAGACAACTCTGTTTGCAACGGACCAGTTTTATTATTATTATTATTATTACTACTAGTGCATCTCCGGATCATTGACGAGTGAAAGTTTCCACAACACTCTCCAACCTCAGCCTCTTTTACATTACATGTTACTTGTTAGACGCTTTTATCCAAAGCGACTTACATACTCAATACTGTGGGCAATCCCCACAGGAGCCATTTGGGTTGAAGTGTCTCAGGGACACAACGACATGCTGACTGCAGTGGGGTTTGAACCTGTGACCCCCTGATCCGAACACCAACGCACAACCCACTGCACGACACGCCTCTTTTTTATGGAACCGGCACAGGGTGACATGGCATATCATGTGACTTTGCCACTTCTCTGAGTGATTTGCCCTCCTGAACTTCATTTGAGGCCCTCTGCAGCAGAGCAAGTGGCACTCCCTTGTCTTCCTTCGTCTTTCTGATATTTGGCATACTGTAAACACACGCACACACTTTACGTACAGTATTTTATTCTGTTTAGTTTACAAAACAGTGATTCTATAATTTCATTTTCAAACCTTTATTTATCCAGGTGTATCCCTTGAGATCATTGATCTCTTTTTCAAGGGAGACCTGCTCAAGTAGGTTCCACATGAAACATAAACAGAACAACAAAAGGACATCATACAGCAAAGTTACAGGGTTTACAATTTACAATAACTATCCACATGAGCAGGGACCAACAGCTTCCGATTGAGTAGCATCCAACCGAGCTTTAAAAATATTTAGTGGCACCAGATTGCTCAGTTTCCATTTCAGTTGCAGACTATTCCAAGTTAGAGGAGCTGCACATCTAAAAGCTGTCTTCCCTAAGACAGTCCTAGCAGTTGGCACATTTAATAAAACCACAGCATTCGATCTCAGGCAGTAGCCACTTACAATTCACCGTGAGATCAGGGAGCAGATATAGGATGGAAGTTTCCCTAACATGGCTTTGTATATAAAAATGTGCCAGTGACTGAGCCTCCGTACAGTTAGTGAAAGCAAACCAGCCCTTGCATACAGGGTACAGTGATGGGTTAATGCTTTACAGTTTGTCACAAATCTCAGTGCGCTGTGATAGGCAGCATCTAACTTGATCAGGTAATGGGCAGGTGCATTCATATAGATCAGATCACCATAGTCCAGCACAGGTCAAAAGGTCACAGTCTTTTCCTGGCCTCAAGTGAGAAACAGGACTTGTTCCTGTAAAAGAAACCTAGCCTAACCCTCAGTTTATTAAGCAGGTTATTTACATGAAGTTTACTCTAATAATACTAGTTTGGATTCCTAGACATTTGACCTCAAGACAGTATCCAAAAAATACATATTATTTTTGTACATTTTTTACCTCAGAAACACACTTTTGCTGACATCTTGAGCGAGAGATTTAAACGTGGCTCCTTTTTTGACAGCAATATTTCCATCTAACAGCGCATGTGCAGAGTGAGTTTCATGACTCTAGCTTGTTTGTGATTGGAGATATTGAAGGCGTTAAAACGATCCCGTGTTACAACTGTCCCTGGTCTCCCTACTCTGTATTTCTAGTCCACTACAGTTCAGAGGTAAATGGTGTACTTCTACTCCACTACATGTATTTAATACCTTTAGTTACTTTACAGATCTGGATGAATGATGTGAAATCTAACGAAGTGTTAAATCAGACTTTAGTTCCACCTGTCATTCAAACTAGCTGCATCTTTACCAGCTTTGAGAACACTTTAATGATCAATCATCTGCAATATCTTGTTGGGCCGTAAATCAATATACTTAAGTTATTATAATGTCATTTTAAGTTTGCACATCTTTATTTATCATGTTTTCAAAATGTACATGTCTTAAGTTCAAACTTAAATGCATACTGACCACCTGAGTGGACTTATACAACTTTTATTTTTAAAATTTGAAAAAACTAGATAAAAAAACTAATGTTCAAATCTTGTGTTTAATGCCCCAAGAGCAATAAAAACACTTGGTAAAAAAATCCTGACTGACGTTTTCATAATTCATGCATGAAAGGGTTAACCCTAAAGCAACCAGGAAACCACAAACAAGTACATTTCTTGGTTACACAATGCATTTTTATTGTTTTTTACAGCATCGAGGCACTCTTGACTTACAATCAGTTGCATCATGCTATACTATTGAGGTTATATCCATAATATATTGAAATACCAATCACATATTTTTATATTACACAAATAAAAGCTTACGGCAAAGCACATTTCATAGGTCATAGAGTATTTTGCTAGAAGGAACAGAGCACATGGAACACATACACATAATTAATGAAACAACATGTCAACAACCAGCGTTATAAAGGATTTGGCTTGTTTCCTAAATCGAGATAACTACTGCTAGTTTTTCAGTGCATAAGTATGAGCTTTTAGATATATCTTTAAACAGCCTCTGTCTATACGTTTAGACGTTCTGTATCACTCCGCCATCCGCTTCGCCACCAATGCCCCCTACAGGACACACCACTGTGACCTGTACTCTCTGGCTAACTGGCCCTCTCTTGAGACCAGACGCAACATCCACTGGCTGATGTTTGTTTACAAAACACTCCTAGGCCTCACCCCCTTCTACCTCACACAATTACTGCAAATCCGCACAACACCCGGTCAGCTACAAGCATCCTGTTAAAGATCCCCAAAGCCCTTACATCCCTTGGCCGCTCCGCCTTTCAGTTTGCAGCAGCAGATAGCTGGAATGTCTTTCAAAAAACTTTGAAAATGAAAACCTTTGTCTCCCCCCGCACCTTCAATGTCAGGGCCGGACTGGGACAATAAGTCAGGCCGGGAATTATACACCCAACCAGGCCACTACCAGTTTTATTTTGTGCAATTTTCCTGGATTTATTTGTCAATATTTACAGCGTTGCTGCCCATAGTGATAGCCCTAAACTTTAAAACTACCCCAGAATAAACATATGGACATGGGTTACTATTTTTTTTTAAAAGTGCAAATCTATTTAGGAACCTATCCATGTGAACATATTTTAAGTGGAGGTGGACCTCAAATCCTCTAGGGGGTCGGGGGGCATGCTCCCCGCGGAAGATTTTTTTTTTTTAATGTTGGACTTAAATGCATCAATCTGGTGCACTTTGAGGGGGAAATAAAGAGACTACACCCATATGAAACAGAACTGTATACATTTAAATAATCATAAAATCATAAGAACATGGCCATAACCAATAACATACCATATCCAATATGAAAAAACATTTAAACTTGTTTATTTATTTGTTTTTGGTTCATTTATAGTTAACATGGCATAGTGTGTCTGGGCTCCTGAACCAGCCTGACCTGTCTCCCCCCTGCTCCTCTTTGAGGCAGCAGCAAAGACTAGTTTTAGCTCTCAACAAGTTTTTAAAGTTTATCCTACCTTTTTTCACCTAGTTAACTTTTTTTTTTGTATTATTCATGCATATTTTACTAATCACTCCCCCTTCAAAT